TCGACTGCGTCGTGGGAACGAGAATCATAAACATAAGAGGCCACGCGACCCTATAGATCCGAACGAACGTCATAGGCGAAAACTGACGGCGTTCACACATCGTAGAGGAGAGTTTCCCGAGCGTTCACAAACGTCTCGCCCGACCACCGTCTACACTCACCGTGCACGGACCTCGAAAGAAACACACACAGACAAGACCGCGTCGGACACGTCGTGCGCACGACTCCCTGAGTCCATGCCGCGACCCCTCGATTTCGGACTGCATTTACGTCCCAGTTGCTTCTTCCTTCTTCTTCTCCTCCTACGAGGAAGGGTCGTCTCCCGGAGCAAGGGTGAACGTCCGCGCCTCTCTAGTAAGGCGGCGTACACATATTTATATACAGCTCTCACAATGCCGGGCGCACACACACACTCAAGAGGCTTCGCGCGTATGTGTCCGGACACGAAGAGGGTGTGGGAGCCCCGCCCGGAGTCGCCGTCCCTGAGGAGCGAGTACCGTCTCTCTTCCCGTTAACGAAAACGCGACAAAATTCCGACCGGGCCTCTTCCTCTACTTTCCTCTTCGCAGACTCAATGTCCCCGCCGAGGACGTCCTGAAAGTCGTGCGCCGGAAAGTTATGGCCTGGCGGCCCCGTCTATCGAACTTTACCCTAAGCTTCAGACGAAACACAGCCGGGTAATCCCGAACGGTGTCTAGCGCCGTTAATCGGTCTACAGAGCAAAAAATTTTCCGTTGTCTATATCTATCTCAAACGTCTTCTCCGCCGCCTCTTTCTTTTTTTTCTGTCTTGCATATATTACTCTATAGAAAGTAATATATCTACCTTTATATATTATAGTCCTACAGGTCTAACGTATAATGACTAAATCACATTTTCTCGACAAGTTTGTGATAAAATGTATCGGCATGTATATTGAGGACTAGGTAGGCGCAAGTCTTCGCGTACCTACGTGTCCTCATATTTACTGCCGGTCTTTTATTCCAACTTCGTCTCTCGAATGTGATAGTTCATATCTACCCTGTTAGTACTGTATACTATATTATATAGTGTACGTTTCACTATATGTATGGTGCTAGACGATAGTGTGGCGGCGAGCGTATGTACCTCGTGTATGTGATTGACAACGTGGAAAATTTCTTTCTCTGTTAGACGAATATCCCCTATGTATCTATCGTCGATCTGTATCTCTCCGCTGTGTTTCGTCTGTATAGTATGGCCTAAATTCCGATAGTATCGCTCGCTATCGTCTCTATATATCTCTCTGCGCCGACTTTCTATGTATCTGTCTCTGCTGTATCATTAGTCTGTCTCCTATATGAATGCGTATGTAGTAGGAAGAGCGCCGTCGATATTTTGTCGACTTTCTCGTTAACAAGAGAGACCTCGTAGCTCCTCTCGAGCGGGACGCGACCGGGGGCTACACCCTCTTCGTGCCGACACATAACCGAACGCTCTTGAGTGTGTGTGTGCGCCCCGTGTGAACTAATATAGATATTATTGTGTACGTCGCCTTACTAGAGAGGCGCGACGTCACCCTTGCTCCGAAGACGACCTTCCTCTAAGGACCCGACTAATCGCAGTCGCGAAAATCGAGGGACCCTTCCGCGATGGACCAGGCGAGTCGTCACGTTCCGACGTCTTGTCCTTGCGTGTGTTCTTTCCGAGTCGGTGCACGGAGTGTAGACGTCGCTGCGCGCGAAGACGTTTGTCGACTCGAAACTCTCCTCTACATCTTCCGTGAACCGCCTCAGTTCCCATACGTTCCGTTACATCTATACCGGTCACTGCGCCCTCCTTATGTTTATATGTCTCGCGTTCACACACAAGTCATCGTTTA